AACGCATCAACTGTTTTCCGTCCATACTACATCGGAGGAATTTCAAAACGCAACAATCACCGGTCAATTTGGATTTGTGTTTGAGGAAACCTCAGTCAGGGAAATCACATGATTACCTCAGTGATGCCATCGTTTTTGAAAAGCTTCGTTTTCAAAATGTTTTCCGTCCACACGAAACGAAAAGGCGACGTTTTGAAATTCTTCCGGTTTGAAGAGCGTTTTTGAAAAGCTGCCGTTTTTCGTGACGGATTAGTGTGGACGACATAGGCGGCCGGCCTAACCGTAGCCTAAAGCTACGTTTTCAAGTTCCTCCGTCGTAGTACTAAAGCGCTCAAAACTGCTCATCGTTTTCCCTGAAAACGTATACACTGACATTTGAAAACGCTGTCCAGCGTGGAGACATCTGAAAAGGGAGTCTTTTAGCGTGGACGAGCAAAACGCTGCAAAAACGGCAGTGGGGAAAACAGCAAACGGCTGTTAACTCCTTTTACTTTTCTACGAATCATTGATAAAAACCCAATAGGAGTATGATAAAAGTAAAATTAATTGGTCCACAGCAAACGCTGTCACTCCCACTGACAACTGGCCGACAAAGTTCGCGGGAAAAACTAGTGATCCCTAATCTCTTTATTATTATTACAACAAATGCTAATTTTCTAACTCTAACTCAAAACCGAAAAACATTAGACCCCCGTTCGCGAAAAACAAAAAAACGAAAGTGATGTCTAATCTCTGTCTTATTACCTCTGCCTATTGTTAACCTGCCGAGATAAGCTATGAACTACAGTGGAACCTCCGGTTGCGACCACCTCTCCTCAGCGACCAGTTTTCCAAAATACCAAAAGTTTCCAAGTCAAATCACTTTTAGAGCTAAAATTTTGAAATTTTCTTTTGTTTTTAACCTCCCGTAAACGACCACTTGACAGATAATGGAGCAAAAATTGAATAGTAAGGTGTTGTAACATTACCACATTCCTGGGCAGTAAAAGAGACGGAAATTTCTCAATGGGAAGTACAGGATATTTTCTCGAAAATGACTTTTGACATGAATGAAACATTTAAAAATTGAAAACAAATATACGCATACACTGTACGCTAGCACGCNTTTAACCTCCCGTAAACGACCACTTGACAGATAATGGAGCAAAAATTGAATAGTAAGGTGTTGTAACATTACCACATTCCTGGGCAGTAAAAGAGACGGAAATTTCTCAATGGGAAGTACCGGATATTTTCTCGAAAATGACTTTTGACATGAATAAAACATTTAAAAATTGAAAGCAAATATACGCATACACTGTACGCTAGCACGCTAGCAGTCTTAAAAGAAGCGAACTTAAAATGTCTTAAAATTACCATATGCTAATGAGGCATAATTTTGACCCAATATGGTTTAAGCTCTCGTAAGCGACCACCTCCTGTAAGCGACCACCTAAGCTTGACATTTTGGGTGGTCGGTTAAGGGAGGTTCGACTGTATATTGTAATTAAATCAGGTATCACTATATTCTAAGTACACTGGCATGCGATAAATTTAAAAATCCCTTCGATCCATTAAACTGTAAAATTCAAAACTGGGATCTTTTCTTTACATTCAGTTTGGTTATATGTAATAATTCGTAGGACCAGTGCGGGTTTTATTTTCCATCATTTTGAAAACAACGCAAAACATGGTGCAAGTAGGAACTTAACGATGTGTTACAGTTTGATTTCTAAAATTTTTTACGTTTTATTTAGTTTTTCAAAATATTCTCATCCGTCTGTTCCTCCCAGAACTGTTTGGTATTTATATACGTTTTAATTTAGAGAGAACACTCACGCCAAAGAACTCATCATCAGTTTTTTACATGTTTTTCAGATGTTGGCTAACACCAGCGTCTTATTAGAATTTTAAACGGAGATGATGAAATTCCAAAGGTGCTGCACGCTCAATTTTTATTTTTCTTGGTTTTCGTATCGAGGGCACTGTGTCAAACTATATACCGATATCTCTGCTGACTCTACTCTCCGTGGCTGAAATGTACGCCAAGCGGACCTACGTTTGTGTTTTGGGTCACGTGATCGAACAACACGGTTTGTGTCCGTTTCCCTCAGTTGACGTTGTTGTTGTGTTGTTGTTGTATTTCTGGTGAGGTGAGTGATCAAAATTTTAATATCCTAGGTCTTTAATGTAAGTAAATTTGCAAAACCTTTTAGCTTCGCGTTTAATTCCCGTATGTTTTGTTATCAGCTGTGATAAATTCGAGGTCAGAGTTCAGAGTACCGTATAGTTGAATTTGATTCCCCCGACCTCAAAGTTCTTTGTCCCAGATGAAGATGTAGTTTCAATGTTTCGTCTTCTAGCGAAACTACCGTCATGTTTAGCTTATTTGCAATAACTGTTCTTCATCGACTTACAAATTAAAGTTACATTTAAAGAATTGAAGGTGACACTCATGTTTACAGGGAGTTAGGGACAGCCAGAAGTGTATCAGCTCTCGTAAGCTTGTAATCCCGGGGTATCCAATCGATCAGATCGATAATCGATGACAATCAATATCAATCAATACCAATTGATATCAATTAATTGATTGATATTGATAATCGATGACCAATCGATGGCGAAGATTCATGTGGTTATCGATTGGTATCGATTTTCAATAACAATCGATCGATAAATTGATATCGATTGGAATTGATTGGTTGCAGATAGAAGGAATCGGCACATAAATATGCCATCTTTGTCTGCAGTAATTGTAAACACATTTCATGTTAATCCTTTGAACGTTAACAGGAGAACAAGGGTGCTTACCATTTACAAAAACCATCCGGTTGGAAATTTCAGGCATAAACATTAAACAATTAAATTGAACATTGCGGGAGAGGGAATCGCTATAAAGTATATCCACATCAGCTAGAGAGACTTAAAAGAGCAGATAAATAGCATCAACCCAAATCACAGCCCATATTTTCTGAAGCTTCCCAAACGGAATGGCGCGAACCATTTGATTTTCCAACTGGAATTTCTGATTTTCCCATGTAAATGGTAAGTACCCCAAGACTCTCTTCTTTCTCTTCAACGCCCCATCCACAGGTATTCATCTTCTTTTGACAACTCAAAAGTTTGTTCCCGTCCTTGCCTGGTTAACAACTTTAAACACGTTTCCGCGTTCTCCCCTCTTCTTGTCAGAAACACTTCATGGACGTTCACCTCAAAACGGCAAAGATGATAGCCTTTGGTGATGCACCTTATATTCAGTAAAGCCTCTTCCAGACTTCTTGCGTAGACATATAATGACATGGAAAGGCAATGACAGGCAAGTGGGTAATTCGAGTACACGTGCAACGGGGTATATTCTTTGCGTTGAGAAGACTGGCTGGGAATTATTTTACCAATTTCGTCCCCTGGGCTTCCTAAAAATGGCAGATGATTGGGCAGGTTCGAGGTTGCTGTGCCAATCGATAGCAATCGATGAACAGTTTTTGTGTGGTTATCCATTGACTGATACTAATTGATACCAATTAACTAATTTTATCAATTGATCAATTGGTTTTTGGATCATTGATTTCCATTGATTGCATACCCCGGGTTGTAATTCTCATCATTGTTAGCAGCTGTTATTGTTTTAGGGCTAGGGTCATTGTTTCTGTTGTTTGTTCTATTGTTCTCTCAAAGGGTAGCAAGCCATTCATGTGAGACCTGACGAGAGCTGTTGGATGGCAGGGGTGTTTTGCTGAATGCCAAATGCACTGTTTGCATGAGGTTTAGTAGTTTCACTCATGTTTGCTTCCAGTTAGCTTTTGTTTGTTAAGGACAGCATTATATTGCATATGGCCCTGTCCCACAAATAAAAGCTAACTGCAAGCAAATGTAAGCGAAACTAACCGCAAGCAAACAGTGCATTTGGCGTTCTGCATTCTGCAAATTGCCCCTGCTGAGTTGGGGGGTCTGGGAGAATTTGAAGGTTGAGTTCTTTAAAATTCTCCCAATCTTTCTTGAGGGTTTTCATCAGCCAATGTAAACATACACATATTCTGATTTTGCCATCGATACACAACTAAGGACACTCAAGAGCTACGAGGTATGGGTGCATTGGTCAGCTATCTTTGTTTTGACCTATCAGTAAGACTGCAGCTTTATGGATGTATATCCGATGTGCACCACATGTACATCTGGTCTGGGATATTTGAAAGGTAGATAACGCTATCCACTGGTTAAATCACTATCCAGCAGATAGTGCGGGACTGCATGTGTACATGTACCACCAACCTATGCTATGGTGCTACCTTTGGGGTCTTATGATTGTTATTAGAATGACAATACCAAAAGACGATAACATTATTAAATATAAAAAGAAAATTAAATAACAGTATTTTCTCATAAAAAGGGACAAACAAATTAAACATAGCAGAAGTTGTATATGGGAAAGCTGAAAGCGAAGTTTCTCAACCATCTCAAATGTATACTTTGACAAGTATTACTAAATTGTCAATCTGATGTAGAACTGTTCAAATGACAACTGAAAGTGTTTACAAAATAAGTGTTCCAGCCTCCCTCTCCCTTATACATTCACCTACCAACCAGATTTCTAGCACATTGCAGCAGCAAAAAGCTACCTTTTCATTACCTGCTAGTCAGTTCCCTTTCAGGAGCATTACTCAAAAGGTTATGATTCAATGACCTGTAAGTGCAAAACGTTATTTTTTTTTTCATCCCACTTCTAATACTCCTCTATGCATGGCACTCACAGAGATTGCAACCCAAAAAGATTGAAAGCTGGGAGATCTCAACTCTCAAAATGTGGCACATGAAAATGAGGTCCACCAATTTGACCACAAACTCAAATATCCTGCAAAATGTCTCAAATTCTGCCAAATAAGTGACTGTGAAAATAGGTATTTTAAACACTATCCTTAATGTAACTGGGAGATTTGGTAACCCGTACAGGAGATCAGGGGATTCAGTCTGTATCCAGAGACTCCCTGATAATCTGGGAGGATTGGCTTAGTTGCAGTCTTAAAAAGTGCTGAAAGCAGTTTGGGTGATAATTTCTTCCGTAGGTCATCCTTGACATTTCCAAGATGCCCAATGGTGAGAAATACAACTGTACTCAATGTGATAAGTCATTTAACAGCTCTTCAAGCTTATCAAGGCATCAGAGGGTACACAGTGGATTAAAGATCTACAAGTGTTGTCATTGTAAAAGGAGTTTTAGACATAGTACAACTCTGAAAACACACCTGAGGATACACAGTGGTGACACACCCTACAAATGCGACAGTTGTAACAAAGATTTTAAACAGTTGTCAAGTTTTCATAGACACGTTGCAATACACAGCGGTGACAAACCATACAGATGTACTCAATGCGATAAGTCGTTTAACCGCTTATCGAGTTTGACCAGGCATTTAATGATACACAGCGGAGTAAAGCGTTTCAAGTGTTGTCACTGTGACAAGCGTTTTAACCATTCCTTGACATTGCAATCCCACCTCAGGATACACAGTGGTGCAAAACCCTACAAATGTCAATATTGTGATAAGCAATTTAACCAATCATCAAGTTTGCGAAGACATCTGAAGATACACACTGGTGAAAAGCCCTTCCAATGCAGACAGTGTAATAAGACTTTTAAACACTCGGCAAGTTTGGAAATGCATGTTGCAATGCACAGTGGTGAGAGAGTGTTCAAATGTGATCATTGTGACAGGAAATTCAAGCATGGGTCAACTATGCGAAGGCACTGCAAAATCCACAGTGGAGAGAAGCCTTTCAAATGTAGTCATTGTAACAAGTGTTTCAACCGTGCATCAAATCTGCAAACACACTTCAGGATACACACCGGTGAGAAGCCCTACAAATGTGACCATTGCGATAAGAGTTTTAATCAGTTGTCAAATTTGCGATCACATCAGCGGAAAATAATGGGCAAAAGCCCTTCCACTGAAGTAGTCGTTGACACAAGCATAGCGATTGACACAATTATCTCTCCCTGTTATGAAATTAACCAAAACACCTGAAAATAAGCAGTGTGGAATGGAACGAAGCTGATGATCCAAGAGTCACCCAAATGACGGCTACAGTAGCTGCAGTTATCAAACTTTACAGTATTTAGTAAATGTGAAACTAATCAAATAGAAAGGATTTTTTAAGAACATTGTGCTATAAATCATCATGACCGGCAAAAGTATTTCATGTTTTGTTTAAAAGTTAGTTGTTACCAAGTATACACTGAATCACATATCAATAGACAGTGTGATCAAATTTCTCTTTTTGTATCCTCACTCAAGGTGTAGTATATTTTGTTGTTGGTTTAGTTGTCAGAAAGCAGGTTAGCAATGAACTGAAATCGCCATTCCAGTTACTTATTCATGCTATAATGTATTGTTGGAATTTTTCCAGGTGGTCTTGTGATGTAGTCATAATAATATTATTTTTTTTGGAAAAAATAGAGCTCTAAAGAGGAAGCTATATTTTTATGAATAAACATGTGGCAAAAGGCTGCTTGTTGCTATAATCAGGGACAAATTAAAGTGTTGAAATATTTTTGCAAATGAGACATTTTTGAACGGAGATCAGTACTTCCCTTGATAAAAGACACCTTTTGTGTCAATAGCCACTCCCATAGCCCCAATCAATTTTGAAACAGGCTTTGGCAATGCTGTTACGTGGTCACAACATTGGAAAGGGAGAGGGGGAGGAAATATGAGGAGTGTAGGTAGGACAAATTACTCTTGAAGGGAGAAAGTTTGGTTTTGGGCAGTGCCTCAACTACTTTTGCCCTGATTGTAGCATTAGTAATTTTCTTAAGTGTAAGTTGCACACTCGATTTTGAGTAAGGAAACTTATTGACAGTTGGTCTGTCAACCACTTCTTCCTGAAGTTTTTCATAACTTTAAACATTTGCTGCTTTTTTCTTAAAGGAGCTCAGTCATGATATTTTGAGTTATTTTGGCCACTTACAAAATCACTTTGAAATTGAAGGAAACCTGAAAATAGTAGTTTCCTTAGATTAAAAAAAACACCAGAGGTAATAGAAATAAGCCATAAAGAAACAAGGATGACTAAGGATGAAGAAGATTAACAAGGATTACAAATGACAAACTTGAAAGATTTAGCCTAAACTTTTCCAAGATGCACAAAGCATGACATAGCTCCTTTAAGACCCAGTTAGTGAGGTTCCCAGAAACCCAGTAATACATACTGTTTTGTAAGTGTCAATTTTAAAACCATCATCATTCATGCTGCATTGTTTTATAACCATAACCTTTTCACAATAAACATTGACATAGTGATTGTCTGGATTTCTTGTAACTGTATATCAATGATGTTTTACTAAAATGACTAATAGAAGCCTAGCTAATTTACAGTGTATCTTGCTATTAAATATCAAGGAATTCACAGAAAATAACATTTATCAGAGAGGAAAAGGAAGTTGATATCAATACGCCAACAGAAAACTGTTGTCAAAATGAATTGTCTGCACAAATTTCAGAATTTTGGGACCTTATAACACAACTGTTGCAGATCTATATAATAATTATATTTAAATAATTCCAGGAATTCAGAATTGACAAAACATATACCAGAATTTAATAAAATTTCCCTATCTAGTGCAGTAGAACCCCACCCTTATACCAATAACTTGTTTACAAGACCACAGCCAGTTTTGTTAGGCTCAAACAAAAAGGTAGACTTGATAATTTATGCCTTCCCTGTAATACATTAACATGTTGGTGACCATCAGTGTTTGGTAGACCTTTCCACAAATATCATGCAAAATCACCTATTGAAATATCTTTCTGGAAATTCTAAAAAAAATCTTCTAAATGTCACAAAAATGTTTCTGAATATCTCAAAAAAACCTTCTAAAAATGTCTTCTATTTTGTCGTAAAAATACCGGTACACCGATCAGAGTTTCTATTAACGCACAGGTGTGCGTCTTATACGCACAAAAAAAAAAAATGAAAAGGATGCACAGTTTTTTGGCAAAGTGTGCCTGTCCTTGGGATGCAGGAAAAAAGTTCTGAAAATTTTAGTCATAGGTAAAGGACAACTGAAAAGCAGAAAAAAAAAGCAACTCTTTGGAACTGGGAGTCCCAAGGACCCTTACCAGTAACTATCAAAATTAGTGGGAACTCTGCTGCTTGAGTGCTTTTAGTGATTTAGAATACATTTTTCGAGTGACAAATCACTGAAGTGGATTGTTTCTGGCATAGAACAGAATATTGTATCAAGAAAATAGCAATGAAAACACAGGGCTAAGCCAAAATAAACTATGAATATTTGTGAAAAAATTCCCTAAATTTTCTAAATATCCTAACCTTTTCTAAATATCTCAGAAACTTCTAAATATCCCAAAAATATCTGAAAATTTGGGGAAAGGCCCAGTGTTTGAATTCCACTGTACAAAAACACTACTATCACCAGAGCAGAGGGGAAATTTGTACCTCACTACTGGTGAGATGGCAGCCTGCCCCAGTCCCCCTTATTGCAGCAAAAAAGGCCCTCCTTGTTAACCCTCTTTTTGAGGAAGAGCATGTTGATTTACAATTCACTTCATCTGTTCCCCTTGCCTTTGTGAGCAATTCTGAGCACTCAGTACTTCAAAAACTTAACAATCACATTATTAATGTGTTGACAGAATTTTTTGTATCCTTTTCTCGTCAAATGAAGGTAATCAAACATGTCCTCGTGGCTTATGATGCCATCACTCCTTACAAAGCCTGGATCAGAGTCCAGGTAAATTGAGTTGGGGATGGTCTCAATGGCTTCCTTCAGTGTGTGGTTTACTTGGAAGTGTTTCTCACGAAGGGGGTTGGGTAGTTTTCCTCTAGGAAGCAGACTCTGAAGACAAAGAATAATATTGACAATCAGTTTAGTATGGGGTGTGCGCGGTGAAGTCAAGCTTAATAGCTTTGTGGCCCAAATGGCTGCCAAGTGGAGCACTATAACTACAGGAACAGAACCACATGCATGCTCAGAAATAGAAAACCATGTAACTCTTTTCATGGTCAACATGGCCAGCAGCATGGATCACGGGCGCATGTGCCCTATGAAGAAAACAATGTCACGCAACATGGTGGCAATACTCCAGCTAATAGGTTGACTGAGGCATTAGACTTCTTTGATATTGAACATCCATGATATGGAATGCTATTGTCAATTGACACCTGTCAAAACAAGATATTCATTGACCAGTGTCACGTTTTTTTTAAGTTGATCACTGACAAGGTCCTGGTTTTTGATTGGATCGCAAGCTCAAGCCAGGTTAATTTATTGTAATCAGGAGCTCTGCTTTTAGGCTTGGCTAAATCTATATATTATAGAGTGTGTAAGCGATTAGTTGCTAATAAATGGGTATTCCATGAACATGAAAAATGTTTTCTAAACAGACAACTTATGGAACCATATTAAAATTGAGATTCACTGATCAGAAATTTATCTGAGACCAAGAGCAGTCAATCTTACCAGTACAATGATTTTAGCAGATGGCAGTTTGCTGCTTATACTCCAAACAATTGATTCAATTCCTTCTACAACCTGTTCAGCAGAACTGTGATGATTGTTTGTTCCAACTAACAATACTACGACCTGAAATGACAAAATGCAGCTGATCAATTCAACTAGAAACCCCTTGTTAACAAACACCATTTTAAATTACCAAAACAATGAACTAAAATTAATCTTACACCAGCTGTATTTTGGCATAATGTTAAATTCTCTCACCTTAGGATTTATTGCATCCAGTTCACCATTTTCTATTCTCCACAACACATGTTCTGTACAATCACCGCCAATTCCAAAATTAAGAGAACTCAGAGGTGCAAAATAAGCATCCCAGGCCTGAAATGACACAATGATTTGTTGTTGAACAACTCTGCATATTTCTGTAGCATAAAGCAACTAGAAGAACTTTCACTGGACAAGATGCTAGTTTATTGAAGGTACACTGCCCACCCCCTGGAATTTGTGGTTTCTTCATAGCCCAAAAAATTCCAAAAAACCTATTCACGGTCAAATGTGGAGAGAGCCACTGTGAAGGTTAAATCATCTTAGCTTCATAAGGTCAACCCTGTAATGATATTGTGAGACAGCGGCCATAAATACCTAGTGCTGATGTGAGATAGCAAACACAGTACATTGTTGTATGTAAGACTTAGGTAAGTAAGTTACAACAACTTTATTTTACGAGGGTAGCACAAATATGACAGTAAAAACTGATAAACCAGTGGCCCTCAAGAGACTTTTCAGAACTATGGAATTACAGAGCCTTCACAAAGCTGTTCTTGTGTTCTTTGAAGCCTCAAGATCTTTACAAACCCCAGCCAGGGTGCAAATTGAGCCAGACCTTTCAATGTAGGATAGGAAAGGAATAACACCTCAGACTCTGTGATGTGCATGGAAATGCCCCAAAATTAATCAGGCACTCAGGAATGCTGACAGAAAAATTTAATCCTGTACCCGTAGAATTACCACATATACATACATGTACCTCAGTTTCCTTCATATTCCGTATGAGTGAGTCCCCAATGAATAAAACATCACATGGAGAAACCTTACCATCATGTAAAAATCTCTCATGCTGAAAATATACAAAACATGCATTAAGATAAATACAGTTCACATTGTTAGGGTGCATTCCTTTGGGATGATCTGGGTCAGGATCAATGATCCAAGATCAGTCGGATAATAGTATATAAAAGCTGAAACTGATGCATCCTTGCCCAAAGTGGATTCATTGGCTCCTTTGATGCACTGTGATCTGAATGATCTTGGATCACTGATCCTAATCCAGATCATTCCAAAGGAATGTACTCCTAATGTTGACTGTTGAATGATTTGAATGTTTCCAAATCAATAACAAAGACCACACCCAGATTTTTGTCTAGGTAACTGGAGATGAAGTGCCTGGGACTGGGATACACAAACAGGTCAAGGCTTAGAAAACCACCTGCTTGAACATTGCCCCATTGAGTCCTGTGAATTGTCAACAGTTAATAACAAACTCTATATTCTTGTGGAGGTGTGGTAGCCCCATATGGTTAATTATTAACTGGACTCTAGTTTGAGTGGTCTGGGTTCAAGCACTGGCTGGAGTCATTGTGTTGCACTCTTGGACAAGACACTACTCTCACGGTGCCTTTTTCTCTCGCAAACAAAGGCCTTCT